ACATTGTCTCAATACAAAAGTCACATTCGTCCTTTAGTTGAAAGTCCAGTAGTTGCGTTCAGTTTTACGTCTTCACTTACAAGTTATATGCACCGTACGAACCTCTGTGAAACAGACAGAGGGGGGTGCCGGGACTTCCCCCTTTCGGCCCCTCTGGCCGCTCCATCGATGCCTGCAGGACCCTCATGTAACACCCGTCTTTCCCGTCCACCCCTGCCCACCGTTTTGATGTAGGGAAGGTCAGGTGTGTGTGTGTGTGTGTATTGTGAGTGGTGTCGTGGTGTACAGTATGTGATTGGGATTGAGTTGTATGGTAGTTATGGGAGAGGTGGTTGCATGTATTTAGGGCTGGGATTTGTTGTATGCTGTTTAATAGAGTAGGCAGGGAGTCACCGGGTGTCTGGTGGTGGTGGAGTGAGCCGTGTGTTGTGCTCCAGGCTTTGTGGTGTTGTAATGGTGGTGCCCTCAGATGGTCTACCATCATAATGGGTACGGTAACGACCCCAATACCATCACCATCACCACCACCACAGGTCACCACTGGTAAGGAACTACTACCACTATTATACGACTCCGACTCCAGCTGGGGGCGTTACTTAGCCGAATTAAAGGGGCAGGTACCTCTCAGACACGACCGTCCGTGCCCGGGGACAGTCATTCGTGGCCACACACTGTTGTACGTGCCCGGGGACAGTCATTCGTGGCCACACTGTTGTAAGTGCCCGGGGACAGTCATGCGTGGCCACACACTGTTGTACGTACCCGGGGTCAGTCATGCGTGGCCACACACTGTTGTACGTGCCCGGGAACAGTCAGTCGTGGCCACACGCTGTTGTACGTGCCGGGGGACAGTCATGCGTGGCCACACACTGTTGTACGAGTCTGAGCAACAACAGTTGGTGCTGGTGTGCCGTTTATTGAAGGTTTCCCTACAGTATCATCACAGCCGCCATGGTAAAAGGATTAATGGGAGTCCTCTTAAGTGGCTCATGATGTTACAGGTACCATAGTTAGGGCTAGGGTTTGCTATGCTACATGAAGGTAGGTTAGGGTAAGTTAGGTTTGTGTTAGTTAGGGTAGGTTAGTTCAGGCTATGAAGTCAGGCTAGAATAAGATGGTTCGGTCATTTTTGTGCATGTCAATACAGATACAGACATCTTCCTGTACACGTCAACACAGGTGTATCGTGTGTCAGGTGTGAGGGAAGGTGGGTGGTTGGGTGAAAAAAAGGTGAGGATGGAGGAGAGGGAGGCTGGCTGGCTGGGTGAGGGAGGCTGGCTAGGGGAGGGTCTGGGTGCGGGAAGGAGTGGCTGGGTGCTGGAGGCTGGGTGCTGGAGGCTGGGTGGGTAAGGAAAGGCTGGGTGAGGGAGGCCGGTAAATCAACAAGTGGTGATTGTGGGGGTCGGCGGGGCTCGCTATCGATTGTCCCCCTCCACCATCCGACTCCCCCGCCCGACTCCGTCCTCCCCCGCCCGACTCCGTCCTCCCCCGCCCGACTCCGTCCTCCCCCGCCCGACTCCGTTCCCCGCCCGACTCCGTCCTCCCCTGCCCGACTCCTGTCCTTCCCCGCCCGACTCGTCCTCCCCTGCCCGACCTGTCCTTCCCCTGCCCGACTCTGTCCTCCCCGCCCGACTCCGTCCTCCCCGCCCGACTCTGTCCTCCCCTGCCTGACCTGTCCTCCCCGCCCGACCTGTCCTCCCCGCCTGACTCCGTCCCCTGCCTGACTCCGTCCTCCCCGCCCGACTCCGTCCTCCCCTGCCTCCTGGATCCGTCTCCTGCCTGACTCCGTCCTCCCCTGCCTGACTCTGTCCTTCCCCTGCCCGACTCCGTCCTCCCCGCCTGACTCCGTCCTCCCCGCCCGACTCCGTCTCCCCGCCTCCCCGCCTGACTCCCTCCCCGCCCTCCCCGACTCCCCGACCCCCGACTCCCCCCGACTCCCCCGACTCCCCCGACTCCCCGACTCCCCCGACTCCCCCGACTCCCCCGACTCCCCCGACTCCCCTGACTCCCCTGCTGACTCCCCTGACTCCCCTGACTCGCCTCCTGACTCCCCGACTCCCCGACTCCCCCGACTCCCCGACTCCCCCGACTCCCCCTTCCGACTCCCTCCCGACTCCCTCCCTCCCTGACTCCCTCCCTCCTGACTCCCTCCCTCCTGACTCCCTCTCCCTCCTGACTCCCTCCCTCCCCTGACTCCCTCCCTCCTGACTCCCCTCTCCCGACTCCCTCCCTCCCCTGACTCCCCTCCCTCCCCGACTCCCTCCTCCCCTGACTCCCTCCCCGACTCCCCACCCTTCCCGACTCCCCACCCCTTCCTGACTCCCCTCTTCCCCGACTCCCTCCCTTCCTGACTCCCCCCACCCTTCCCGACTCCCCCACCCCTTCCTGACTCCCCCCACCCTTCCCTGACTCCCCACCCTCTTCCCGACTCCCACCCTTCCCTGACTCCCCCACCCTTCCCTGACTCCCCCACCCTTCCCGACTCCCCCACCCTTCCCCGACTCCCCCACCCTTCCTGACTCCCCCACCCTTCCCACCCCCACCCTTCCCGACTCCCCCACCCTTCCCGACTCCCCCACCCTTCCTCCTGACTCCCCCCACCCTTCCCGACTCCCCAACCTTCCCTGACTCCCCCCCCACCCCTCCCTCCCTGACTCCCCCACCCTTCCCGACTCCCCCACCCTTCCTCTGACTCCCCCACCCTTCCTGACTCCCCCCACCCTTCCTGACTCCCCACCCTTCTTCCTGACTCCCCCACCCTTCCCTGACTCCCCACCCTTTCCTGACTCCCCACCCTTTTCCTGACTCCCCCACCTCTTCCCGACTCCCCCACCCTTCCCGGACTCCCCACCTTCCCGACTCCCCCACCCTTCCGACTCCCCCCACCCTTCCCGACTCCCCCACCTTCCTGACTCCCCCACCCTTTCCCTGACTCCCCCCACCCTTCCCGACTCCCCTCACCCTTCCCTGACTCCCCTCACCCTTCCCTGACTCCCCCTCACCCTTCCTGACTCCCCACCCTTCCTGACTCTCACCCTTCCCTGACTCCCTCACCCTTTCCTGACTCCCCCTCACCCTTCCCTGACTCCCCTCACCCTTCCCGACTCCCTCACCTTCCCGACTCCCCCACCCTTCCCGAGACTCCCCCACCCTTCCCGACTCCCCACCCTTCCTGACTCCCCCACCCTTCCCCCTGACTCCCCCACCCTTCCCTGACTCCCCCACCCTTCCCGACTCCCCACCCTTCCCGACTCCCCCACCCTTCCCTGACTCCCACCTCTTCCTGACTCCCCACCCTTCCCGACTCCCCCACCCTTCCTGACTCCCCCACCCCTCCCGACTCCCCCCACCCCTCCTGACCCCCCACCCTCCTGACTCCCCCCCACTCCCTCCTGACTCCCCCACCCTCCTGACTCCCCTCCCACCCTCCCTGACTCCCTCCCACCCCTCCTGACTCCCCCTCCCTCCCGACTCCCCCTCCTGACTCCCCCTCCTGACTCCTCCTCCTGACTCCTCCTCCCGACTCCCTCCTCCTGACTCCCCCTCCTCCTGCCCCCTCCCTCCTGACTCCCTCCTCCCTGACTCCCTCCTCCTGACTCCTCCTCCTGACTCCCCCTCCTCCTGACTCCCCCTCCCTCCCGACTCCCCTCCCTCCCGACTCCCTCCTCCTACTCCCTCCCTCCCCACTCCCCTCCTCCCCACTCCCCCTCCCCACTCCCTCCCTCCCCACTCCCTCCTGACTCCCCCTCCCTCCCGACTCCCGCCCTCCCGACTCCTGCCCTCCTGACTCTGCCCTCCCGACTCCCCTGCCCTCCCGACTCCCTGCCCTCCTGACTCCCTGCCCTCCTGACTCCCCTGCCCTCCCTGACTCCCCTGCCCTCCCTGACTCCGCCCTCCCTGACTCCCCTGCCTCCTGACTCCGCCCGACTCACCCCTCCCTACCTGAACGAGTTCGTCTGTCTGTCAACCTGAGTAATGAAAATTTTCCCAACATCAGAGGAGATTTTTGTGTTCCCAATCAGGACTAATACTGTGCCCTCATTAGTGGAGCATCTTTGTCTCGTCATTAAGAGGAATATCTCTATCTTATCTTCAAATTGAGGGTCTCGGTCTCTCCACAAATGGGATTATTTTTTTCCTCTGTCGTGAGGCCCATCCCCCAGCGTCAGGAGAAAGATGGTATATGATGTCAGTTGTGCTGGAGTTGTATCTCACCATCTCTACGTGAGGGAATACATTTATCTCTCCATCTCTACGTGAGGGAATACATTTATCTCTCCATCTCTACTTGAGGGAATACATTTCTCACCATCTGTACGTGATGGAATGCATTTATCTCCATCTCTACGTGAGAACATTTATCTCTCCATCTCTACTTGAGGGAATACATTTCTCACCATCTGTACGTGATGGAATGCATTTATCTCTCCATCTCTACGTGAGGGAATACATTTATCTCACCATCTCTACGTGAGGGAATACATTTATCTCTCCATCTCTGCGTGAGGAAATGCACTGTATCTCCCTATATCTCGGTTGGTTGGCATTATGTCTGTACAGTATCTATTTCAGGGAAAAAACTGCATCACTGTCAGGTCTTAAGAGAAATCTTTCTTCTCTTCCTCAGTGTTAGCAGATGCTCGTCTTTTACACTGTCAAAGGCAGACATGCACGACCTTCCAGCAGTTAGGGGCAGACATGCATGACCTTCCAGCAGTCGGGGGCGGACATGCACCCTTCCAGCAGTCGGGCAGACCTGCACGACCTTCCAGCAGTCGGCAGACATGCACGATCTTCCAGTAGTCGGGGCAGACAGCACGACCTTCCAACAGTCTGGGGCAGACATGCACGACCTTCCAGCAGTCGGGGGCAGACATGCACGACCTTCCAGCAGTCGGGGCAGACATGCACGCCCTTCCAGTAGTCGGGGGCAGACATGCACGTCCTTCCAGTAGTCGGGGCTGACATGCACAACCTTCCAGCAGTCGGGGCGGACATGCATGACCTTCCAGCAGCCGGCGGAGATGCACGACGTTCCAGCAGCCGGGGCGGACATGCACGACGTTCCAGCAGCCGGGGCGGACATGCACGACGTTCCAGCAGCCGGGGCGGACATGCACGACCTTCCAGCAGCCGGGGCGGACATGCTCGACCTTCCAGCAGCCGGGGCGGACATGCACGACCTTCCAGCAGCCGGGGCGGACATGCACGACCTTCCAGCAGCCGGGGCGGACATGCACGACCTTCCAGCAGCCGGGGCGGACATGCACCTTCCAGCAGCCGGGGCGGACATGCACGACCTTCCAGCAGCCGGGGCGGACATGCACGACCTTCCAGCAGCCGGGGCGGACATGCACGACCTTCCAGCAGCCGGGGGCGGACATGCACGACCTTCCAGCAGTCGGGGGCGGACATGCACGACCTTCCAGCAGTCGGGGGCGGACATGACCTTCCAGCAGTCGGGGGCGGACATGCACGACCTTCCAGCAGTCGGTGGACCTTCCAGCGTCGGGACATGCGTGACCTTCCAGCAGTCGGGTGGACAGAGAACGATAATCCACTTGGCCTGGTGTCGCTTGGCACTAAGGATGTACGTCTTGGCGTGAAGATCACAGGAGTGCGTCTTGCCCTCAGCAGCTGTCGGAGCACATGTGTCCTACCACGTGGAGGGGTAAGGGCCCGTGCGGGGCAGTTAAGGGCTCGTGCGGGGAGTTAAGGGCTCGTGCGGGGAGTTAAGGGTCCGTGCGGGGGATTAAGGACGTACTGCAACTCTCCATCACAGACGAGGATAAGTAATATCGATTAGGTCTTCCCCTTGAGGTGCGTGGGAGGAGGGTTGACCGATTTTTCTTATTGCTGTCGAGTGTGTGCGCGTTTTCTTGAGTGTGTGTGTGTAGCTTTTGAGAGTGTGTTTGTTGTGTTTGTTGCCTGTGTGTGTGGATCATTGTAATGCATTTAAACTACAGTACAGCAGACTATACCATTTCACAGGCTTATTGGTTTTTGTTTATTAATTAGTGAGTTACCTGTAGTCACCTGTCCGTCGTCTCCCCCAGCTGGACACCTTGGTTATGTAATTTAGTTCCTCCAGCACCTCTTCCCCCTCCCCCTCCCACATCTCATCCCCCCCCCTACCTCTTCCCTCTCCTCCCCGTCCTTTCATATCTCTTCCTCGTTCTATCCCCTCTGTCCATCCATCCTCTCCTCTTGTCCTCACCTTCCTATTACCCCTCATCCCTCCCCACAACCTCCTCCGTGTTGGTGTGTTGCTAAGCACACCTACACCAGTAGCTAGATGGTTTTAGCCTCACTGATGCCTCAAGTTTAGTGACCCTCGTTGACGATCTCGACCAATTAGGATTCTTTGCGTGTGTTGGGAAGTTGGTTTTTGTAGTATGCCTTATGCAGTGATTAGTTTCCATATGTTAGCACTCCCTTCCTTGTATTTGACAGGTTACATATAATGCAATGTCCCTCCCTGCCTTCGAGCCTCAGCCAGCTGGTAAGGTCCCGGCCACCTGCTGAGAGTCCCTTTAAGCGGTACACCTGCTGGGTAAAATATCCAGGGCTTTTATTAATTACGGGGAGTGAGGCTCAATACTGACTTGTTCTTGGTTTATCTCCCTCATCTTAACTCATCCTGCTTCTCTCACTTTATACCTGCTTTGACTTATTTACCTCCTCCTCGTCTTCTTCTCTCCTTCCCTCCTTCCTTATTTGCTTCATTCTTTTCCTCCATTGGTGCTCTTTTACTTTGTTATAGTTTTCCTCTCATTCCCTGTGTGATGTTCCCTGCGAGGTTTCAAGTCAAGGAAAAGAGGCAGTCATCTGTCTTATGTTTCCTGGGAGACCTTATGGCTGGGCTGCCTCCTCTCCCCAACACACTGTAGCTTATATACCTGGTGGGCATTTTCACCCTACCCTACTCTCTCTCGCACACAGACACTTCTCTCCATTACAATGTCATGGACCCTGCTCACACGTCTGCTCCTATTAACTTAATCCACACTAGCTAGCTCCCTACACCTCTCCCCAGCTCTGTCCTCCTTTTCTCTCCTTGCTTCACCTACCATCCATCCTTTTTCCTCTTCCAGCTCTTCTTTCTCCCTTGCCCTTCTATCTCCCCAGCTTTACCCTCCCCGTCTTCTCCCTCTCACTTATTCCCCTTGTGGCTTTCCAGAATTGTGAGAATTTTCCCTCCCCTCCTTTTACCTTGCCTCCCCCAGGGCGATAATGAACCACAATTGAGAAAATAGCATCTTGGCCTCCTGTCTCACCTTTGATCTACAGGGCCGAGTCTTTGTCGCCGCTCGCAGCCTGCTCCCCCCCCCTCTCTCTCTGAACTGGGGCGCGATAACAAGCTACCTATTCAACTGCTAAGTCCTCCCAGGTCTCTTAGGGCTCAGAGGCGGAAACCGGAAACCGGAAGTGATTTTGTGATACCACCATCTGATGACTGTGAGCCCAGCGAACTATTCCTTATTTCGTGAGAGTTTGGTTAAAATTGCCCGCTTAGGGTGATCAGACTCGGGAGAAGCTTAACTTCTCCCTTCGTCTTATCTCCCGGGTAGATAGAACAAGCTAAGTAATCAGACGAAGCTGGAGTTATTATGTCAAGGATGCTCACAGTCTTGCTTTATTTTCATTCATTTTACCCCCAAAACATCCTCGTGACACTTAAAGTTCCTGTTCATCCTTTGGAAAAAAACTTCACGAAGGATGCCGGCAGGTTATCAGGACTTGGATCACCACAACTCACGACGCAAAGTTGTGTGTGTGTTTATACCAGACTCCCCCCTTTTGGCACGAAACTTAGTCGTGTAAAAAAGCAGCGAAATGTATGTTTAGAATTTGATGGCCTCAATTTTACAAGATTCTTCAGAGGAGATTTAAGACGTGTTAAGGGGGGTGTCAACACCGTGTGAAGATTGAACATAATGTATTTGGTTCACTGGTGATGATACTGTGGTCGCCAGGACATATCGTGTAATACTTATGACAAAGAAAGGCTTTACAGTATGTTGCAACGATTTTGGTAAAATAAATTAATTGTGTATCACTTCGGTTTAGTTTCTAAGGTAAATTGCTGCAGTTTGGGTGAATTTTATATAATTATGTGTATTTATAAACTCAGGAGGTAATGTACTTAACTCTCCTACATAAACCAAGAGATAATAAGGGGCATAAATTCGTGGATGTGTAGTTTGTATGAGGTTGGATATGGAGGTAAACTGGTAGCCATCAGACCACTGCACTGATATTAATTTCGTTTAGGATTTTAATTGGATTTCAGTTGAACGTTACTGCCGTGGGAATAGTTTGGGAGATGTGCAACAGTAGACAGGTGTATAGTTATTTAACACAATTAGCGTGAAAAGCCTACACCCCTGTACAGGTAAACCCACTTGTGGCTTCCACACTGTATGCTTCAGGTGTGTTGAACCATTACCTCAGTTTTTTTTGGCATTTGGAGTGAATTATTATTATTTTTTTTTTTTGGCGTAAGTTGAGCTATTTACTACCAATAATTGTAAACTGACAGGTGCTTATTGTTTCCTTTGAGCATTACTGATCTTAAATTGATAATGGATACTACCTGACATACTGTACAAACATCTCAGTGGTTGTCAATTATCGTTTTCTTTGACACCGTGAGCAAGTTGAGTGACCTGCATACTTGACAAGGTCGCTGGAAACTGGTTTAGAATATAACCTAACCTAACCTAACCAGGTGCCTGAGGGAATCTACCGATGTAAACTGGTTCGTGCTGTGATCCTGGCTCTTACAGCCCCCACACCTTCTACTTACCTCCAGGATTTTCCCTTCATAAGCGTCTTGTATACAGTTGATTATGGGCTCCCCGTCGTCTTCAGAGGGAATGGGGAAATTTTGTGCGTGCGCGTGTGTGTGTACTGTACATGTTTAATGTGGGTGGGGTGGGATGTGGGGTGTTGGGGGTGTGTGGATGGGTGGGGTGTTGGGGTGTGGATGTGTGTGTGTGATGGTGTGGATGTGGGTGGGGTGTGGATGTTGGGGGATGTGGTTGGTGTTGAGGTGTGTGTGATGTTGGTGGTGTTGGGGTGTGTGTGGGTATTGGGGGTGTGGTGGTGTTAGATGTGTGTATGTGTATTAATAATAATAATAATAATAATAATAATAATTAACGGTTTATTGAAAGAGCATGGCAGCCGGAAGGCTGAAAATATACAGTTACATAATTGGGGAATGATTCTCTTGATTTACAACAATATACAAGTAACATAAGTGATACAAATATGATATATAATAACAAGGTGGGGAGAAGCTCAAACTACAGGGCATTTCAACATAGTGACTGCAAAAAGGTAAGATTGACTGGGAGTGAACACACTGGTTGATTACAAGTTATTGATAGTTTTTACAATGGTTGGGACTGGGCTGTTTTTACAGCGATCAGTACGTGCTCGTATGGGCGTGATGCGGTTGTGGTGTCGAATAGCAATTTGCGGACGAGGGATCTCGGGTGGTAGTAGAAGTCGGTGTCGAGGATGGTGCAGAAGCTTCTCACCAAATTTGCAGATGAGGTCGTGGTGATGGTCAGAGAGAGCCGAGAAGGTTACTGTGTCGAGCTCTTCTTGATATGCGGAGTAGGAAGGGGAGAGAATAATCTTGCATGCAGTCTTTTGCACTTTTTCTAGGTGTTTATGTTGCGTGGCATTTTGGGAGGAAGACCAGGTGGGAGGCACAGGTGAGCTTGGGAAGTATGAATGTTGAGTAAACACTGGGGAGTTGAGCAGGAACCCAAGGGACTTGAGTCGGCGGAGCAGGTGGAGACGGAAACTGGAGGATTTGACAGCTTCACTGACGTGTGTTTTTCGAATTAGTTTATCTATAGTGACGCCGAGGAGCTTAGTGGAGTCTCTAAACCTGGAGTGTGTTCGGACCTAAAGTAGGAGGGGATGGAATAACGTCAGAGAAGAGGTTGTGCATAACCATGGTCTTGGTCTGGTTGATGGCGACATTGTTGGTGGCCAATTTTGGAGACTGTTCAATAAATCCTGAAGGGCGGTATAGTTGGGAGCCGAGTTGTTGACACTGATCCCAATGGTGGAGTCGTCGACATATTTCCAGCGAGCAGGGCTCTTAGGTTCATCATTGATAAGCATAAAGAAGCCTTGGGGGACGCCACAGGTGAGTGACTGAAAAGTGGAGACAGCCCCTCGGAAGAATACGGCTTTGCGTGTGTGTTGCGTGGGATGGAGGGTGTTGGGAGGTAGTGTGGTGTAAGTGAACGTAATACCTCCACCAAATAATCAGTAACATTCGATTAAACATAATATATTCATGTAAGACCAACGGGATTTCGGAACACTTCATTTAATCAGTAATTTTTCTTTTCTAACCTGTGGCTTGTCATCTCATGGCATTGGGCTCAGTTTTGGACCAACTTGTCCTGTAATACACATGATCCTCTGCCATTAGTTTTACTGTTTTTCCTTAACAGGTTTAATATTTTTTTTTTTACTTACCTGGGTAAAAAAAAATCACCAGTTTATCGACCACTTTAAGGATTTTTTAATAGTTTAATGGGATCTCTTAAGCCTTTGTTAGATTGTGCCCATTAAG